GAGAGGGAGTAACTGTGGACTCCTCAAAGATAGATGCCATACAAGATTGGGAACAACCCAAGAATGTTTTTGAAATCCGGAGTTTCTTGGGATTAGCGGGGTATTATTGACATTTTGTAAGGGACTTCTCTAGACTAGCAGCACCTTTGACTAGGTTGAGTAGAAAGAGTATCAAATTTGTGTGGAGTGAGCCTTGTGAAAAGTCATTCCAAGAGCTTAAGACTAGATTGACTACCGCACTAGTTTTGATAATTCTGGAAAGGGGTTTGAATTACACTGTCTATTGTGATGCGTCCGAGGATGGACTTGGTTGTGTCTTGATGCAAGAGGGAAAAGTTGTGATTGATTTTTAATCTTTCCCGACCAAACTTTTGGTCGCCAAATGTCCAGTTTCGGCGACAAAATTTCTTTTAGTCACTGTATACCTACTTTCGGCTACTAAATTGTTTGGTAGCCGAATGAAAATAAAAAAATTGATTTTTAATCTTTCCCGACCAAACTTTTGGTCGCCAAATGTCAAGTTTCGGCGACAAAATTTCTTTTAATCGCTGTACCTCTACTTTTGGCTACTAAATTGTTTGGTAGCCGACTGAAAATAAGAATTTTAATTATTTTTTTTTATTTTTATTAAGAGGTTGTACACCCACCATCCAAAAATATTAATATCTTTTTTTTTTTTATCTCAAAATATAAATTTTTTGAAAAAATTAATTATTAAAATAATATGAATTTCTTATTTTGTCCTTTTTTTAAATCCATTAATAATACAAAAAGTACAATTATGACAATTGATATGTCTAAAAAAATATACTATCAAAAGGTAATTTTGAAAAATTAATATTTTTAAAATGTAATAATTGTATTATAAAAAGAAATTAAATTCTGAAAATAGATTATTATTTTTAGATGGAAGAAGTAGTCGGCTTTCATTTGATGGTTGAACACATCTTTTAATAATTGGGCCCTCACGCGAAAGGTATGCTAAAATGGGCAACTTGTTATTGGCTGTTTGTCGATAGTTTTACATTGCAAAAATTTAAAGGCATAGTTACAGGTCAGTCTGATGAATTTAATTTTTAATAATAAATTTATTATTTTTAAAAAGTACAATTAAACTATTTATACTTTTTACATCATCATATTTCAATAACACTAATAAATTAAGAATAAATCAAAATTCACAAATAAAAGACAAAATATCCCAATTATTTATCATTTTAATAAATTTTTCAATATTATTACCAGTACTAATGAAATAATCATTTTACAGACACAAAACATATATTTAAAAAGTTTTAAAAAAATTTCATAATCAAAACGAAGGCTAAATGTGTAAAAAAAATTCACTCATGACTTACAAACAGCCTTTGGCCCGTTACATTCATGTTCAAACGGCCTTTGGCCCATAATAATATTCAAATGTATCAAACGGCCTCATGCCCAATTTGTACATATCAAATGTATCAAACGGCCTCAAGCCCAATTCATACATATCAAATGTATCAAATGGCATCAAGTCCAATTCATACATATCAAACGGCCTCAAGCCCAAATCATGTTCTTCGCATCTCTGTGTCTCTCACTCATCTATCTCTTCTATCATCTCTTTTCTCTCTCTGTCTCTTTCGCTCATCTCTCGTCTCTTTATCTCTCTCGCTCATCTCTCTTCTCTCTATCTCTGTGTGTCTCTGTCTATCACTCTCTCCCTCATCTCTGTGTCTCTCTGTCTATCACTCTCTCTCACCACCCATCTCTTCTATCACCTTCACCACTACTGCAAACACCAGTCCACCACCACTATTACTTCTATTGTCACTACTTCACCTCTACGACTACCATTACTACTACTATCGCCACCATCTCTTCCTATTTTTTACATATCTTTTCGTGAAAAATTAAAAAAATACCTCAAATAAAATTAATTTTTTTACATTATATTTTAATTAAAAATTATTAAAAAAAATCTACTCCCAAATTTAGCATAAAAATAACTTTTCATCAAATTATACTTTTTGATCACCGGTGTGCTGAAAGCACCGCGCGCCTCTCACGCGAAAATTTGAATTCAGACAGCGCCAAGAAGCCACTCCCCCCATATCACGACCAATCTCTGCCACACGCCTCTCCCCTTTTTATGTCTCAGATTTCAGACAATCTCTCTCTCTTTCTCTCATCAGAAACCCTAGAAATGCTCACTCTATCTTGAGATTCAAACGCTAAAATCACTCACAGATCTTCACACCAATCACTCCCAAACCCAAAAATGGCTTCAATCAAATCCGCTGCATTGCGATACAGCTCTTTCGATTCTCGATCTTCGACTCAGTCTCACCAGTCCGATCCATCGTCATCCACCGAGCTCAACAAACCCAAGCAATCCTCCCTCAAACGCCTCATCGCCGGATCCAATCTCCGGCCGCGGCAGCAGAGCACAACTCTTCGCGTGCCATCGTCAAGGCCAAATCGTCGAACGTAGCTCAGGTGAGAGTGAAGAACGATGAGAATTTTAGTGCAATAATATTTAGGTGGCGACTCTGTATCTAGCAAAGCAGTCCATGTTTTGCACTTCTTTCAAAAAAAATCTGTTTTTCTCAAAACGATTTGCCGGATTTGGACTCTTTGGTTCAGACTTAGAACCGTGACACAAATCGAGTCCGAACTGTAGCACGAGGCCACGCGGGCGCTGTTACAGTTGGGTTCGGGGTCGGGGTCGGTGGGGAGTGAGAAGAAGGCTTTGACGGAGGTGAAATCGAATACAAGGACTCTGGCTATGGTGCTTAGGAGTGAGAGGGAGCTTTTGAGTCAGAATAAGGAGCAGGAAGGAGAGATCACTGAGCTCAAGATGATGCTAGAGGGGAAAAACAGAGAGGTAATATATACTCATGTTATGGATATATATGATATGTATATGCATGTGTTTGAGTATATGGATATATCATAGTTTTTGATTTAATTGTTGAAATTTGAAGATTGAAAATGCATTACTGGGATTGCAAGAAATATCAAAGCTTTTAATGAATTTGAATGTACCCCTGTTTCTCAGGAAAAAAATATGTTTCTCAAAAAATGGAACTTCGAGTTTTGAATTTGACGTGCTGATAAAACATTGGTTGTTTTATTTTTATATGTTTTAATGTATTTGATGGTGTCTAAATTTGTGATATTGTGAGAAGACAGAGATTGTAGATTTGACATTTTTGTGTAACGGGATATAATAGCAATAAAATTTTGATTTGGTTCCTATTTACTTGATATAATAGCAAAAATTAAAAGGAAAATGAGTGAGAGCACTAATTAGTGCTATCACTAATGATGTGGCAGTGGGTCCCACCAGGAATGATTTGATGTTTTGGCCTTGGTGTTGTATTTTTTTTCTTTTTTTATTGAGTGCCATGTCATTAGTGGTCTTTTTAGAGCTCCAAAATTAGTGGTCTCTATCATTGTTGAAATTAAAATATCTTCCATCGCAAAGGTCTCCATCTCGAAGCCTTCTTTCACTACCTCTTCAGCGACTCTAATCCTCCTCTCTCTCCTTCTCCTAAGGTAATTCAAACAAAATCATTCTTAATCTTTCTCGCTTTCGTAACCGCTCGAGCCAGATCCATTTCAAAGAAATAGTATATAGTGTTTGAGTTGAGAATACATTGTTCAAATTTGATTTGAAAATTTTGAGAATGCTGAAAATGTATTTAAGCTTTACTTGTTTACTGTTCAAGTCGATTTAGTAATGGATTGTTGAAATTTGATTTGAAAAACTTGAAGATATTTAAATTGTATTTAAGCTTGAGTTGGTCACTGATTAAGTCAGATCTCAAATGAAAAAATATGAATGTAACATTCAAAAACTAATGGTAAATTAATGATAAATTATATAAATATTAATAATTATAATTTTTTCATTCGTATTATCCAAACCCTAAGCTGTGTGTGGGCCACCACCATATTTACAGTGTCCCAACTCTCTGAAATTATCATAACTGATGTGTATATGTATATGATGGTAAGTTTTCATTTTCATCCATTAAGTTTTCATCCATTTTCATTTTCATCTACTCTTTTTTTCCCCCTCATTTGGTTGTGTTTGTTTCCTGAGAACATGTGTTATTGTTTTAACTTCAAATGAGGTACTTTGTAAAGGTGGTTGGGAAATGGGAGTGGTGAGTTATATTATAGACCTTGTTTGTGGGCCTGAAAGTATAATTTCAGTGTTTGTATAATACTAACTTATATTAAAAGCATGTAGTGTGCATGTCTTAATTTATCCAAAACAGGTTGTATTTTTGTTCCTGTTGCTTTCTAAACTCCTCAATATGTTGAACAAGCACAATTAGGAACAGGTTGACTATTAGGTATTAGGTATATATGGTGGTCGGTTGTGGACCTCTGGGAAGATAGCAAACACTTCAGTGGCTAAGGATTGCTGGAGGTGGTGGACGAGAAGACCAAGGATTGATTGGTTTAACATGATTGTCAAAAGTCTCATTCATTATGAACTGGAGAAGAAGACCAAGGATTGCTGGAGGTGGTAGTCCCTTTTTATTGATTTTTATCTCATTCATTACAAAGTCTTGCATATAGTTGAAGGGGAGATTGAAATTCTTTATGTTAGTGGCAGTTCTGTTAGTTTGAAATCATGAACTTAAATTTTGTGCATATCCTGATTGAGAGTGAAGCATGGGAATGTGGTAAGAAAATTACAAATTTTTTAATCGTATCTTTCAAAATGGTGGTGCCTATCAAAAATGGGAAAACGTTTTCTAATGGTGGGCATCTATGAAACATTGACAGCTGCAGTAATGTATCCCGCTAGATTAAGAACATTTGATTTGTCTGTGCAAGTTGGTAGTAAATTACCTTGCTTGGTAAATGCTTCACATTGTTTCAATTAAGTCCTCATAGAACTTTGGTAGTATTTTAGCTCACTTGGTAAGTGCCTCGCATTGTTTCAATCAATTCCTCATAAAACTTTTGAAGTTGATTGATTTTTTTTGTAGTGATCAGAGACCTCTTCGACCGTTACTCCGAAAATGGAATCATGACCGTCGATCACCTTCACAGGTTCTTGATCGAGGTTGAGGGAGAAGATAAAGCCACAAAAGAAGACGCAGAGTCGATCATGGAGTCTCTCAATGAACTCAAACACCTCAATATCTTCCATCGCAAAGGTCTCCATCTCGAAGCCTTCTTTCACTACCTCTTCAGCGACTCTAATCCTCCTCTCTCTCCTTCTCCTAAGGTAATTCAAACAAAATCATTCTTAAACTTTCTCGCTTTCGTAACCGCTCGAGATCCATTTCAGAGAAATAGTATATAGTGTTTGAGTTGAGAATACATTGTTCAAATTTGATTTGAAAATTTTGAGGATGCTGAAAATGTATTTAAGCTTTACTTGTTTACTGTTCAAGTCGATTTAGTAATGGATTGTTGAAATTTGATTTGAAAAACTTGAAGATATTTAAATTGTATTTAAGCTTGAGTTGGTCACTGATTAAGTCAGATCTCAAATGAAAAAATATGAATGTAACATTCAAAAACTAATGGTAAATTAATGATAAATTATATAAATATTAATAATTATAATTTTTTCATTCGTATTATCCAAACTCTAAGCTGTGTGTGGGCCACCACCATATTTACAGTGTCCCAACTCTTTGGTAAGCTGAACCATGTATAATGCAAAAACTATAATTCATGAATGAACTTTTTTTTCTTATGCTAAATCATAAAACTAGCAAAATTTCATTGCATTGCAAGCGATTACAGAAAGAAAAACAAGAGTAGTTACTAAATGCAAGTGTGTATCTTTTGCACTCAAACGCAAACGATTAGTAAATGATGGTTCAATGAGGGAATGAACAAATAATCTCTGTGAGACAGAGTAGCGTATCTCTTGCACTCCGCACCTTTGTTAGGAGTTATTCTTACAAGGAAGTTGACAAAGCCGCCAGCCCGTAAATGTTGGTTTGTTGGATACTCCAGAGTGGATGCTATAGATGGAACATATAAATTCAATGGGAATTGGGATACTGGTTTGAGGATAGGCCATATGCAACAGAACTGATGATTGAAGTGTAAAAACCAGTTTGCTTGAAAATAGGAGATGAATCAAATTTTACATGTGATGTGGTTTCAAATTTTACATGTCAATAATTTGGAATTAATATCACCTTCTTTGAGCCACTTAATCTTTTAGCCTTTTGACCCTAGAAAATTTGCTCCTTAAAAATTTTCCTTTTTTCTTGCTTTTTCTTGGGATATGATTTTGTTGTTGTTAAATGTTAACTGAGTCAATGAATACATGGTGGACCAGTTTTTCGAGGGGTCACATAGCATAATTTCCAGCTACTTGGGAAAAAAGGCATTAGAATGGAATTTATGGAAGTACTCTAATGCAATTAAAGGAGAGATAGCGAATATCTTTTGATTCCATATGTAAGTGATCAAGTTGGATTATCTTCATTAACTTCACCTGATTGGGATTTGATCTAGCAGTAATGGTTCTAAATTTTTCATCTAAACATGGTTCAATGCAGGCATAGCCGTGGCATCTCAAGCTTCTTCAGCTAATATAAAGAGGAAAACGGAGAAACATGTTGATGATGGTAGTGGTGATATAGTTGAAGCAGTACCAAACCTGAAGTTGCTTCAGCATCATCATTGCGAAGTGCTAGTGAGTATGACAATTCAACTCCATTGGTCCAGGTTACGACGTACAATAGCGTTGAAGTTCAGGAGTTCTCATCTGATGGCAAGATTTGAATATTTTCCTCCCTGTTTTTAGCAGTAGTTGTGTAATTATTCTTAGAGCCTGTTTGGTGCAGCTTTTCCAAAACTGTAAGTTGATGATAAATAGAAGCTAAAAGAATGATTTCCCCAGCTTTTTTCAACTTTATTTGAGCTATTTCTGTCTCATAAGCTATAAGTAAAAGCTGCACCAAACACTTTCACAGACTCAAAATAAGAAAAGTTATAAGCAGCATTATAAGTTGCACCAAACAGCACCGCAGTTGAGCTGACTCATTATTTATTCATTTACAATGCAGTGCAAGACAGTGGGGATGTTAATGACAGTGCAGATGCAGCAAAGTTGATTGAAAATATGGGGTTGAGTGAGGAGGTAAATGGTTCATCAGAATATGGAGGCGAAGATGAGAATGGGACGACTTTCAATGACACTGATCGAGCCGACACTGATGACAACGGCGATAATAAACCAGAGCATCCTAGTGAAGTGTCAAAATACGAAAGAAATCTGGAACTTCTTAACATCATGACACACTCCATTTTTTTGAGTTTTCTGTTAGGAGCGCACTCTCTCTCTCTCTCATGTGTATTGTGTAGAATATATGTACAGAAATTTCTTAGCTTAGTTTGCATGTCAGGGTTGATCTGTTATCTAGTTACAGCATAGCCTAGTTGATTTTGTGTAGTATCACCAGATGGTGCATTTTTCGACTCTCATTCATAACCGTATCTCATTTTTTGTGCCAGTTGGACTTCATTTCTATTTTTTTTTTATGGATGAAATCGATAGCATTGGATCTGCTTGAATGGAATTTGGATCTGGTAATGGTGATAGTGAAGTGCAAGGGGCGATGCTGGAGCTTCTCAATCAACTAGATGGATTAGAGCATCTAACAAAATCAAAGTACTGATTTCATTCTCTTAAACTAGCAACATGAGGGTGCTACTGCTCTGGGTCTTCCAGTTGCAACGAGTGCATATGTGTTAAAATCCACCTACTCTCCACCTACTTCACCCACTTAAACCTACTCCACTAAACCTAACCCACTAAATCCACATACTCTCCACCTACTTCACCCACTTAAACCTACTCCACTAAACCTAACCCACTAAATCCACATACTCTCCACCTACTTCACCCACTTAAACCTACTCCACTAAACCTAACCCACTAAATCCACATACTCTCCACCTACTTCACCCACTTAAACCTACTCCACTAAACCTAACCCACTACACCACTACCTTCTGAATCAGTTTCTAGAGCATTCATGTTAATCTTTTGTGAAGAAAAAAAAACCCAATGTAAATAGCTAAATTTCTGCAGTTGCTTCACTTCTGCTCTCCAGGTAAGATCCAACATAATTGTTCTTGCGATCTTCAATTGTTCTCTGTCAATTTTCTTCGAGTTTTGACAATTTTCCTTCAAATTGAATTCTGACAGATCGAAATCACACTTTGCTACTCCTTGGCATCAGCGGTATTCTTAAAGATATACTATCAGGACTACAGGAAAAAGAGGATGTGGTGGCGTTTTTATAGCGACGTTTATTTAAACGTCACTGTTATGAGTATTTAACGGCGTTTTATAAAGCGCCGCCTATTCTATTTCACAAAACGACACCGTTTTATAATGGGAGGCGTTTAGAAACGCCTCCGAATGCGGTAGCCACACGCGCCTCTTTTTTTTTTTCCTTTTTTTTTTTTTGAAACATATTTGAATCTGAATACATACGGACAGATCTCTCCCCCCTCTCTCTCTCTCTCTCTCTCAACCCTTAATACATACGGACAGATCTCTGTCTCTCTCTCTCAACCCTCTCTAAGCTCTATCGAAGATTCAGATCGATTTGGCCTTCTTGGCCATTTTTCGCATCCTCGGCCATTTTCGCACTCTTCTTGAGATGGTAGATGATATTCCACGGGGTGGGACTCCCCCAGAGATGGACGTGGATCTTGAGGTTGTGCTCTTGCCTCTTTGCGTCTGACCATTCGATCCGGCGACCTACAAGCCGGCGGTACACGTGTTGCCTCCCGATGGCATCCGCCACTTCAGGAGTTATGTGCGAGGCACGCCATTGGAGCTCTTGTTGCTCGAGCCAGAGTCACATATATCTTACGGCACCGCTGAGGTATACTCCTTCTCTGCTTCATTTTCTGCAATGTAGAACATCTAACTGCGATAGTCGATTCTATTCTTTAACTGCTTAACCCAAATACATTGATATGTCATATGCTTAGTTCACCATGAGCACACCCACACCGTGAATGCTCTGTGATCCAAATGCAAACTCACCTGCAAATTCAGAAGCAGCATTGTTGTTTTGTGAGAACAAGCGTGAATACAACCGGAGGGTGCGTGAAATTGTTGAGCAGAGCTGGACAGAAGACTAAATCTCTCTTGCTTTGGGTGTTATAGGACGTAATTAAGCTGCTTCAAATCACTAATCTTCCTCGTTGTAGGTGGCTGGTCTGATTTTCTCTGGTGTTTGTGTATCATTGCTGTATTAATTACAAATGTAATAGAAAGTATTATGTTTACAGGTTGTAATTTAAATTATTGACGTTGGTTATTCATGTATTATGTATGTGATTTAAATCATGGTTATTCATGTATTATGTTGAATGCTTTAATGGTTGATAATATATTTTAGTGTTGATGGATTATATTGTTTATACAGGGTACATGTAATATAAATGAATACAGGTTGTTTACAATTTTTTTTTTTTTTTTTTAGGTTGTTTACAATTTTTTTTTTAAAAAAAAAAAAAAAAAAAAAAAAAATTGGTGACTAAAACTTTAGTCATTCTAAATAATTAAAGTTTTTGCCGACAAAAAGTTTTAGTCGCTGAAAATTTAATTTATTTTATTTGAACACTTTTGGCGACTAAATATTTTGTCGCCAAAATATACCCTTTCCCGACTACTCACAGTTTGGTAGCCGAATGTTCACTTTTGGCGACTAATATTTTAGTCGCCAAAAGATAACCTTTGCCGACTAACCAGAGTTTAGTAGCCAAAACGTTCACTTTCAGCGACCAAAAATAGTTTAGTCGCCAATACTATCGCCGACAGGGTATAGGCGACTAGTTTGGCGACAAAATATTTTAGTCGCTAATTGTTTCGGCGACCAAAAATGGGGCTTTTGGCGACCAATATTTTGGTCGCCAAAAGTGGCATTTCCTGTAGTGTAAGCTATCAATTACAACAATCTCAAATATTATAATTCTTTAAAGAATAAGGAAATATTCACCGCTCATTCGTGTTTCCAATGACACATGCATCCGACAACAATTAAACCTGAAATAAATAAATGAGTTCTAAATTAACGACTTTATGGCTCTTACTCACTAATAAGTTAAGTCTTCACAACAATGGTCTTGGTAATTCGAAATATTTCTAGTCTATTTACTTTCATAACGAATGGGGCAAATGAGGTTGCTAACCAAATTTAAGTTCCAGTCCTCTTGTCTCCGCTCAATATAAATATACTTATCGATTCCCTTTACCACAAAATTTCCTCTCTTAGTCCTTCTCAATTCACACTTACTTTATTTTTACTTAACGGTTCTCACCAGTCGATTTTCTCATTACCGGAGTTTAACTCATTACCATATATGTACAGATTATTAATCCAAATTGATTCAGTCACCAAAAATTATCTTGTAATGCTATAATGATTCACAGAGTCAACATCATAGTAGTAAAACACAAAACACATTGTCCATAAACTCATATATTTTTGTATTACTATTCACATAATTCCTATTCGCATAATTCTCAATAATCACAGTTCAACCTCAAATGCCAACCATGCTTACACTCTTTTGTTTTCCATAACTTCAAAGGAGACTAAGAATATCAAATGCAAACCTTGGTCCACAAATTTCTTAACCACATTAGTCCAAATGGTAGTTTCCACACAACTTATATATCTCATTGGTAATTAATTAGGTGGGTCCCAAAAGTCGAAGGTCACAAATAACTTACGTAGGCATGCTAATAATGTTTCCTTATCTTCCCCATATTTTGCATTAAGATACTAAGTCAATTTCATATCCCATCCTAATAAAATAGATCCTTCAAGTAATAAGGAGATTCCTAACACATACTCTTAGCCCACTGATCAACTCGTTCTGTAGCTAAATGATTCAAATAAGTAAATGGACTCTAACTAACATTTTGCTCCCAAATAGCGTAAACACATAAAACACCCATCGAAGTGTGCCTACTTATCATAACATTAGCTCAAGTTCTATTTATCCGCTTAAAAGGATTCTACACTTTCCAATAGTCATGTAAACATACATAACGCTTCATATCACATTCTTTGATTCCTTTACTGAGTTCAAACTTAATTTCTTGTTTTGATCTTATTGTTTCTCATGACACGTCCGCATGGAAATATGCCTTTTACCTTATCCAGTTGACTCAACAAAGACTTAACTTCCATTTCATCCCTACTTTCCGTTATCTACTTTTAGGGTCATAAGATGCAGACCGTTAACACGACAGGTATCATCTACTAACTACACCATAACACATAGTAATACATCCTTAATCCTAACACACACAAACATACAAAGATATGGGTGGGGCAATTTCTTCATCTATACTTCTCATATCAAACCATTCCCTAACTCTCAAGTCCCATACTCATTATTAATCAAGACATTTCTCAATTTTCATAATTCCATACACCATATTGATTAGCAACAACTTCAGTTTCCCAAAATTCTTCATAGTCTAATTTCACATGTAGTCCATATAGAAACTACTTTTAATCTCTTTTCACATCACGTTTCCACAAACATGCCTATACTTACCAATTTGAATATCCTAAGAACACCAATATTCCACATCTTTCAAAACTTTAGCCTCAATATCATACACATTATGTAACCCATTCTCATTTCATAACAATTATCGAATCCTCCTTAGTTACAAAATTCAATCTGTGAAACCATACATATGGATCTCTTCTTATTACCTCAAAGTCCATAAGAGATCTAATTCTCAAGCTCAATACTTAACTGATTGTACATTCTCACAAACATCGTTAAGAATGCACAACATATTATTTCGTTACTAAATACATGCAACTTAAATGTATTCTAGACACTCTCATGCTCAATGGGCATGTGTGTGAGATCATAACTCGTGCTCCGATACCAACTGTCACGACCCAAATGAGCCCCTAAAAGTTTGGTCTGTGACCAGCCTGTGATTAGGCCTCAAAAAAAAAATTTCATAATAATATGTATTCAAATACGGGGCCTTAAGCAGAACCAAATATCAACACAGACAAAATGCCCATTAAGCTTGTGTATACATGAAGATTTACATTAGCTTAAGCAATTAAATACGCTTCCATATTTATAATAGTCACAGAATTATACAGATCTCACACACACTTACATAAGACTCAATAAATTACATAGTTCCCAATACAAAATTAAGGCCTCAACGCGGAGGCGTAACCCGGTTGGCTTGGCAGAGAGGAGGTCCTCGACACAACTATAGTGTTGATCCCCGATGACTCACCTACATATATAAAAAGAAAAGGGGTGAGCTAACGCCCAATGAGTAATACTAAAGTAAAGAGGTTAATTAATGATGTCCTTAACATTAGGATAACATACTTCACAATTTAGAAACGTATCGTAAATCTTTTCAAAACAACCATTTATCGTATCATAAACCATACCCTTTCAAGTGGAATATATAACGGAACTATTACAAAACATTTTACGTAGTACGTGGTAC